CAACACACCACCGTTTCCGTTTAAAAAACGTTTTGCACCGTTTTGTCGGGGCTGAACGCAGCCCTGGACTTTAAATTTATTGAGTGTTTTCCCATCAGCCCGCGCGGCGAGCGGAAGTCAAGCAGCACAACGCCAAACGCCTCTGCAGTAAACATCTAAGTCTAAAATGGCAGGAGCAGAGGGAGACGATTCGCTTTATCCTATCGCGGTTTTAATCGATGAATTGAGAAATGAAGACGTTCAGGTAGACACCAGTCTAAGAGAATCTGAGTTTGATTCATATGTATAAAAACATTCGCGTTTTATTAGCATCTTCCAGCACTGCCCGCTAACCGTGCAAGCGATTCATTTACAAAAGAAACATAATTTTCTTCTCCTTACTTTTTCCTCAATATTCTCTCATGTAGCTGTTTCCAGAAAATTATCAACTTGCATTAAGGTTTTATTAGATGTCTATTTGATCCATAACATAAAGCCTGAAGGTAGAAGTTGGATCCGGGCATAATAAGCTTGAAATTGACCGGCTAATTCTCAACATTTATCTTGGCGACATTTTTGGGCTGTTAAAACGTGTACATTAGGATGCCAGTCATTTTGTCATTCTCCAGGTCAGTGTTTCTCGATCCTGGCACTGCAGAGTTTGGTGTCTTTACCTGACACACCCAGGTCAGGTCTTGAAGCCTTTACTAATGAAGTGTGTTAAACTTAAGGAGAGGTACTAAACTGTCCTCCAGTACCGTGGATGAGAACCACTGACCTGGATTTTTATGCATAATGTGATGAAACATAACAGTAAGTGTAAGACGGGTTTGCATAATTTGTGACTGTTAATGTTATTCTGTGCCCATCCTCAGTTGCGGTTGAACAGTATTAAGAAGTTGTCCACCAGTGCTCTGGCCCTGGGTGTGGAAAGAACACGGACTGAACTACTGCCATTCCTTACTGGTAAGAAATCCCAGTATTTCTGAAACAAATGAACTGTTAGATGGATCTTAACTTTTGTTTGTTAATCATGGCTCATCTGTGTTATTTTTTTTATTTACTTGGCCTGTCAATTAATTTTCATTGTAGTATATTAAAACAATTATTTAGTGCCATTTTTTGTAGTATAGAAAATATACTTATATATTTTATTCAATTATTTTATGTATTTTAGCAAATTTCTTGAGTTTTAATTTGCAATAATAGCTAAAGTTGCGATGTAATGAAATTGGCAACAGATGCTTTCTTCCGTAATGAGATGTACATCTGAATGAAACTGATTATTGAAAAAGAAAAAAAATGTAGGAGAGGACGTGGTTCAATCCACTGATTGTTGATTGTATTGAGGCATATGTGAATGCAAGTTTGCAATTGATTGTAAGACCTAGTTAGGGTTTAAATGGACAAAATGATTGGAGAAGTCCCTCATATGTCACCAGAGTCTGTCGTTTCATTAGAAGATCAAGACATTTAGTTTAATTTACAAGGCCAGAAATATTATGCATAAATCTTTCACTATAAGATCAATAACATGCATTTGGAAAATAGTGTGAATGAATTATCCAGCTGCAATGCATAAACGCATTGAGCCCTATGAATCATACGGAGTTCTCTTTTGGTTCACATGCAATCCTTTGGTATATTAATTAGGCTTTATGTTTGTCTTTTTTTTTATAAAACTATCATCACGTCCAAAAATAATTTGAACAACTAAGTGTTATGAAATATGTGGGAAGAGAAAATTCATTTTTTTAAATTGTCATATTGTTGTTTATTGACCATTTGTTGTTCTTTCAAAGACCTTGGTCTGTTACACTTGTTTTTGGTTTGTATTACTTACCTAAATATCAATTAGCTACCTGACATCCCTTCATCTGCAGACACCATATATCAAGTCAAGTCAAGTCTGCTTTATTGTCAATTCTTCCACATGTACAGCACATACACACAGAGAATTGAAATTGCGTTACTCTCAGACCCTTGGTGCTTCCAGATAACACTAACAGTAGAACATAAATACAGATATACCGATTAGCAGTCCGGAACGCTGTTGTTGAGCCATGTTTCCGTGAACACAAAAACACAACAGTCTCTTACAGTCCTCTGAGTTGAGCGTAGTAGTATTTGGTTACTTAATTAAAAATTACCAGATCAGATATTAGTAGGGATGTAACGATTAACCGCGAGCCGGTTGAAAATCGATTTAAATATGTGATGATTCAAATCGGTTGAGATGCTAAACAAATCGCGATTCAATTAGGGTAGGAGTTTATATGAATGTATGTCTGAGGGGCACTTACTGTCTTTCGATGGTATTTTTTCTTTTCCCCTTGCCTCTGTATAATGCATTCTAAAGTTCATAAGTGCAGCGCTGCTTTGTTTACAGCGGAAACCAAGGAAACGCTTTAAGCGCCACCTGCTGGCAGAGAGTGAATCTGTGTGTCGTTCAGCTCGTCTGCTCTTTCTGTTGCGTGCAGATATTTTTTTTATGCATAGTTTCACAACTGAAGTCAAACCATTCTGTTTTTGCTTCAGATTTTGAAATTATACAATGTAATTTAGATTAAAAACTGCTCATGTTGCATGTATGCAGCATCTTTGTTTGGATCATAATTAAAATGCAGTGGTTGCCTCTAATTTTAAATGGAAAGAGCACAGACAAAGCCTTTGTTTATATGAAGAGATTTATTTTATTTGTGTTATTTATTTGATTAGGGGTTTGTTTTAAAATTTCAATTTAGTTTTGTTATTTACATTTACATTATATTTAAATTTTGTTATTTAGCAAACGCTTTTATCCAAAGCGACTAACAAATGAGGACAATAGAAGCAATCAAAACCAACAAAAGAGCAATAATATGCAAGTGCTATATTAGTATATTATTAGTTATATTTCAGTTTCACAAAGAAACGTACATTATTTTGTTCAAGCAATAATAAAAGGACACATTTAATTTATAATTTGTCTTAAAACTAATTTTGTTAAAAACAAATTGTGAATCGAATCAAATCGAATCGTGAGTTGAGTGAATCGTTACATCCCTAGATATTAGCCATAAGTTGAGACAACTCTCTACATGTTTTCATCTTGCACTTCTTCTCCTCAGCCTCCCCTGGAGAGTTTGGCCACAGTGGAGGAAACGGTTGTGCGGGACAAGGCCGTGGAGTCTCTGCGAAAGATCTCTCAGGAACATTCCCCCGTAGACCTAGAGGTGCATTTTGTACCACTTGTGAAGCGTTTGTCCAGCGGGGACTGGTTCACCTCCCGAACGTCTGCGTGCGGACTGTTCAGCGTCTGCTACCCACGTGTGTCCAGTACGGTTAAAGCGGAAATCCGTCAGTAAGTTCAAATGATGCCTTGTTTTTATGCCGTGCACTTTTGAATTCACCTTGATCACTGCGGTCATATTCAGTATTTAATGTTATGGTTGTCTTCACAGGCACTTCCTCACACTTTGCTCGGGTGACACTCCCATGGTGCGTCGAGCTGCCGCCTCTAAGCTGGGCGAGTTTGCAAAGGTTCTGGAGCTGGACTATGCTAAGAGTGACATCATTCCTCTCTTTACAGCACTAGCATCTGATGAGCAGGTACACTGGAACAGATTTACATATAGAAAGACTGGTTATTTGGGCTATTGGTTGGTCAGTGACGTGCAGCTTGGTCTGTTTTGCTTGTGTGTTGTGTTTTTTTTGTCTGGGTTTTCAAAAGAGAAGTTTCTCCATTTTTTGGTTTTCCACCAAAATAATAAAAGCTCTATGGTTTAACATTTGAGAGCAAAGTAAAAAACAACCATAAATATTAGTACTGTAGTTATTCTGTTATATTAAATAATAATAATAATAATGATGATAATAATAATATTAAATTAATATTAAATATTAGTATTATTATTAAAATATAAATTAATATTAATATTTATTATTATTATTAAGTACAGTAGTATTGTAGTGATATTTCTTTGATTCAGTGGGTTCAGCTGGTGAAGTTGATATGGCAATAATTTAAAATACAACAACAACAAAAATACCTTTCAGTAATAATCAATATTAATGAAATAAAAATGTATAATAATAATTACTATTAGATGCTATCCCAGTTGTTGTTGTTTTTTTGCACATCCAGTTTCATGGCTGGTAAAAAATGTTTATGGCTGGTGAATTTTCTGAGGTGACCAGTCATTGGCAGGTCTGACAAAAAAGTTTTTTTATAGAATTGATATTTCATGATCTTTGTACTTAAAAAAACAAACAAACAAAATACAAAGATAATAAAGATCATTAAATATGATAAAATATATTAAAAAAGATGTAAGAAAATATATATTATTTTCCTTTGATACACTACATTTTTATAGTCATTAAAATTGAGCATTTCTTGAAAATTATATAAATGTTTTTTGAAACCAACATGAATATAAAAATTACATTTCTAAGAACTTGGAACACATATTTAGAACTTTATATATATTTTTCTGTTTAGAACTTTATAAGATTTTTATTTTTGTGTGCGTGCTCTTTAGAGGTCTGCATGGGCTTTAAACTGAAGCCCGACCCGTACCCGAGATCGTCTGACCCGACCCGAGCGGCACAGTTAAATTTAGAGCCCGAACCCGAAATCTTTTTTTTGTTTGTTTTTTCCCACAACGAATAGCCAATTTAAAAAAAAAATGCTGTATTTCACGATTGCATGCAACGGTCAGTAAACAAATGCATGTAAAGAAACAGAATCATTAAGGCTCGGCCAGTTCACAAGGCAAAAGAAAAAACACTTACCAGTTATGAAAGTTTATGAACATCAGGTTCAGCGGTCACATAAATTCTGCCGAGTTTTTGAATGGTTGACTGTATATCCTTCTGTTATTTTCACACTTAATTATGCCCATTAAAATGTATTTTACAAGTTTGTTACTTTCACTGTTCATTTTTTGCTCTATGGTACATCATCTTTAATTTAATAGCATTAGAGCTGCTCCATTGCAGCGGCTTAG